ATATTGCGCCGAGGTTTCGGTTACCGAGAGAGAGTCGGTGAGAATTTCCGGAACGGTCGTGTGATCGGTGCTGTCGGATTTATGATTCGGCGATGCCTCCATCTGTAACGATTGCGTCTTAGACGCTGCGCCCTGCGCAACCTCGTCGATCATGTTCTCCTGATCCTCCATAACCTCCGACACGTCCACCGTGTCGTCCTTGCTCGAGAACGCGTTTGTCGGCGGGAGTCGGTGCACAGAAATCACCGCCGCGTCCAATGACTTGGCGCGTCGTTGAGCGGTGGGCGACTGCGTGGCACCTTGACGCTGAAGAGCGCCGATTCCGCTACCTTCGGACAAACCAAGTCGCGCGCGCGCGAACAGTATCGGCGTTTGTCCCGGTTTGCGCAATACTAACGGAGATTCAGTTAATTCTTGAGTAAGAGCCACTTTCTTCGCGCTGTCCTTTGAGTGCTCTTTGCTCGGTTCCTTAACCGATTCTTTGACCGGCTCTTTCTCGGCCGCTACAGCTTGTTTAACGTCTGTCGGCTGATCGCTCACCATGTCCGAGTTGAGATGCGGCTTGGAATCTTTCTCTTGCCTGGCTTCTTTCTGCTGCTGCTTCGATTCAGCGACCTCGTCACCGCTCGATTCCACCTTCGATACTGGTTTTCCACGTCCCGACTTCGAGTCTTGCTTCGATATCGCGTCTTTCGCCGTGGCGATGGGTTTGTTTTCGATTTTCGATTCCGCTGCTTTAGCAAGAATTTTGGAGATAATAGTTCTCTTGGGTGAAATTTTCTCCACCGAGTCCTTTTTCTCCGTACTTCCCAAACTCTTCGATATTCCCAAAGATTTCGGTCTTGTCTTCTCAGACTTCACCGCGCCTTTGATCAGCTCGTCGTCGACAGACGCGGATTTCGCGCGAGTTTTCGTTTCTTCTTTTTCCTCCTTCGACGTAGAGAACGGTTTGTCGGATAATCTGGTTACGGATTTGGATCTACCCTTTTGAACGATGCTTATCTCCGGCGCTACGTCGGTCGAATCGATTATTATAATTTCCTGCGGCATTTCGCCGAGTTTCAATTTAGACTTGTCGATTTTCGCGCTCGCAACCGGCGCGCGTGACTCCTTCGACGCGGCTTTCTTCAACGGCGGTTTGTCGCCCTCCAACGATTTCGATTGTTTCTTGAAGTCTTTCTTCGGCTCGGACTTGACTTTCTTCACTCTTTTCGGGGAAACGTCCTGCACGAAGTGTTTGTTCTCAACCTCGGGCGAAAGCAAAGTGTCGATCGGTGCTTTCTCTTCCGCGAGCGACAGGGATTTCGACCTCAACGGTTCCGCGTGGGGTCTCAACATGAAAGGAACGAATTCAGGAACTTTAAGACTATCCAATTCTAAAGCGGGTTTCACAGGCACTTCGTCCAAAGGCAATTCGGCGACTGGATCTACAAAATCGTCAAATCCCGTATCGATGATTTTTGGTCTCGAGATTTTTGTGACGGAAATTTTACTTACTTCCGAGAATTTCGACTCGATTCTCTCCAAAATACGTTTAGTCTTCTCGGGAATGCTCGGTTTCTCCAGCGTCTTCGGTTTCTCCGGTATCGGTGGTTTTTCCGGTTTGACTTCCGGCACAGCTGGCGCGTGAACCTGAGCGACCACGGACTGTATGTGATCTTTCTTTCGCTCGTCGTCGGACGACTCGTCGGTGGTTTGTTTCGGCGAATGATCGAATTCTTTACTAACCACTGTCGTTGTTTGTTCAACGTCGCGAATCTTATCGTCCGCGAGTTTTTCAACAACGTCGCCGCTGGGAATTTCAGGCAACGGTATCTTCTCGATACTGTCTTGCGACTCCAAGTTATCCTCCGGTGTCTTCAAGGTGTCCTTTTCGATGAGTTTCTTACGTTCCAGAGCTTGCTTCATTTCCATGGTCACTACGTCGGCAAAATTCATAGCAGCTTTGTGCCTGTTGTCCGCCGTTTTCGCAGTCGGACTTCTAGGCGCGCCCTCCAGAGATTTCTTCTTCTGTATCACGGAAATGATGGTCACGTTCGGATCGGTCGGCGACTTCTTCGGAGAACGTTTCTCGAGCGTCGAGATAATTGTGACATTTGGCTCCACCGGCGACAACTTCGACGGTTTTTTATCCAAGCTCGACGATTTCTTACACGTGTAATCGTCGATGTTAACGCTCTTGTTTTGCGTGATCTTGTCGAGCGACTGGGCCTTCGTGTTCATCTTCGAGGGACTTCTGTTGGTTGGGGACAAGCTGCAAACGATACTCTTCGCATCGGTAGGCGAAAGCTTCGACGTCGGACTCAAAATACTCTTCGGCTTGTCCGAAGGACTCAGTATGGACTTCGGTTTCGTTGCTACGATCACTCCGCCTTTCGGTGGTTTATCCGGAGACAGTTTGTTGCTGGTTTTGTCTATCGAGAGCTTCGTCAAGTCGAAGTAAGGAATGTCCGTCACCATTTTCAGCGGTAATTTTGGCAAATCTTTCGCGATACTCTTCACGTTCTTCGAGGTCTTGCTGCTGTCCGATTCGGACTTCTCGTCGGACGCCGTGCCGTTCATAACGTGCCGCTTGTGCAACGTGTACGGAATATCGACGTTGGTTTTCTGCATCGCCGCGCTGTCCGAGAACGGTTCCTCGTCGCCGGAATCCGCCGGAGTCAGATCTATCGATTTCTGATGCATCAGCATATGTCGCTTGTTGTTCGATCCCAATCTCTGCCGCGCCGGATTTGGATCGCTCTTGGTACGTTCCACCGGCATGTGTCCGGGCAGCGCGGTCTCCTCGAAGCCCAGCACGACCCCACCGACGACTTTCGGCTCGTACTCGGTGAACACAGCTTTGGGTTTCAAAGAATCCATCTCGTGCGGCACGCCGATCACGGTGTCCGTGCGAGATTCGATTGACAGTTTCGCCTGACGCTCGCGTTCCCGTCTATCGTCGTCCTTGCGCGCTTTTTCCAAACTTCTCCAGTCGTCGCGTTCCCGCGGTTTCTCATCCGCGGTCTTAACAACCTTCTCGGGTTTGCTCCTGCTCCGTTTCTGATCCGTTTTATGTTCCGTCCTTTCGATGTTCTTTCGACGTTCCGCGCTGTCGAAATCCAGACACTCGAGACTCCTTCCCTCCCGCGATTCCAAACGGCTCAGATACTTTCGTTCTCGCGAGTCCAGCTTTTCCAGACTCTTACGCTCGGCGCTTTTCGACTCGTGTTTCCTCTCGTGAACGCGATCTCTTTGCTCGTAACGTTCCATCGACTTCAAACGTTCGATCGTTCGCGGATCGAAGTCGAACTTTTGAGAATCCAACCTTTCTATGCTCATTCTTCGTTGTTCTTTCGGAGTCAGTCGCTCGAACGGACTTCTACTGCCGGAGTCAAAACGTTCCAGAGTGTGTCTCTGACCGTAATCAATAGAAGCCGCTCTGCTTTTTCTCGATTCTCGCGACTCGAGTCGCTCGATGCTCCTCTCCCTGCGTTCCCGCGAGTCCGAGTGACGATAATTATTTCCCTCTTTGGGACTTCTCAGATATTCCGTGCTGCTGCGTAACCCTTGTGAGTCCAAACGATCGACGCTCTTGCCGCGCAACTCGTACAACAAATCATTGTAGTAAAAGGCACTCTTTTCCCGCAAATCCAAGTGCTCGTAACTTCCCCTCTCGCGCATGTCGAGACGCTCGATGCTTCTGCGTAATTCGCGCATTTCCGCTCGAGTTATGCCGCGACGACTTTCCGATTTGCGCTCGCGCGAATCGAGCCGATCCATCGAACGACGCTCCCGGGAATCGCTCTTGTCCACGCGCCTGCAATTCTTCGAGTAATCTTTCTCGACCCGTTTTCTCGAATCCTCTCTCTCGACGCTTCTACGTTCCTTCGACAACGCTTTCTCGATCTTGATGTCGACGTCCCGCGGTTTTCTGTCTCTAGACTTGTGACCGCGACCTAAACTACCTGTCTCAACGTACAATCGCGACGGATGATCGTCCAAACTAGCGATACTACGCGCTCTCGTCGTCCTAGATCTGTAATTACTACCCTCAACCGGACTGAGATCGTCGTCTATCCGCGATTTCGGACGCATAATACCCTCGTCGCGCAAAACTTCCGAATCTACATGAGTGATCTTGTATTTCGGTTTCAAATTCTTTAGCTCGTTCAGAACGGATACTTTTTGCTTTTGAACTTGTAAAACCACGGGATCTTTTCTGGCAGAATCTTGATGTGGAATGACCGTCTTAGACGGCTGTTCCACAGAGGTGGCGTGTCTTGTTTCGAACTTTCGTTCAATCTGCGTGCTCGACCGTTGTATCCTAGACTCGGTGATCACGTAATCACCGTCGGTCTTGGATACAGCTGAGTACCGATCGATGGACTTGGTTCTCGTGTTCTTAAGATCGGTAAACGCGGATTTATATTGTTGTTTCTCAGAGGACTTCTGCGATCTGTGCTTGACGAAGGAATCGGTCTCGGAGTCCATTTGGAACATCTCGTGCTCGATTCCTTCGTCGCTCTGATCGGATATCGCCTCGTGCTCGTCGTGTGGACTGGAGTATGATTCCGGATACTCGAATTCACGCTCGCGTTCCAAAAGCTCGTAAGAATCGTGCGAGAGATCGTCATGGGATAGATCTCCAGCTGGGCCCGATTCCTCATGACCCGATTCGGTAGACAACGACGACGTTCCCGGGTAGGAACTGCTGTACACACGCTCGGGGACAGAATCGTGATCTAGAGAGGGTAATTTTGAACTAGCGGCGCTATACGAACGATTACTCTCGTCATAACGTGTCACGGGGTTATCTAGTTCACCTTGGGAAGCTAATTGGAATGGATCTAATGGAAGATCCGCGGTTATCTTATCGTCCCGCGGTCGCGCTTTACCAGAGTCCTCAAAACTAGAAGCGTACAGTTCACGACAACTAGCCGACCGTTGCCAGGGATGTCTGGGCAAAGGTCGTGGTGGTGGGAATTCGGGGGGACTGCTGTTAGAGGGGCTGATACGACCTGTTGATGAAATCCGTTGTTGGCTGGTAGCAAGCATCTGCCGCTGAGCTGGGACCTGGCTGGGGGTGGCTGGCGAATGGACGTCGATAGAAGTGAGCGTCCGAAACGATGTAGCTGTGTCTTCTCGACGGTGAATCGTCCCGCCCATTGAGACACTCGTCACAGTCGTCGGAGAATCCAGTGTCATCGAACCGCATGACAGAGACAGAGCTGGGGTTGCCAGTGCTGAAAAAATATCACATAAAATTTTCTTCTGTTCTTGATGTAAACGCGCTGTATGCGAAATTTTACAGAACGCAATCGCTCGTGTGTGATTAATCACACACGTTAATTACTTCGCGATCACTTTATAATAGCAGAACAAGTATTTTCTGAAAAATCAAATCTATCTAACACATACACAAAAATACTTTTCCTTATTTTTAAGCAGCAAAAGTTTATTTGGAAACAATCTAAGAGTAAGATACGCTATTCTACTTTACTACTGTTACAATATTTCAGTTATGATACGATGAAAAGAAATGAGGCTAGGAAAAAATAAGTGGACAAAACAGAAAGAAAGAGAGAGAGAGAGAGAGAGAGAGAGAGAGAAAAAGAGAGAGAGAGAAAGAGAGAGCCAAAGGGCAGAGAAATTAAAAATAAAGCGTCTGTGTGTGGAGGTTGGTATCGGTCATGGTACATACCAGGATCGCCGAGGGGCAGGAGGGGGTGGGCAGAGATGCTGGAGCTGCCCATAAGGGAGCTGCTTGGAGTGGCCCCACGATAGCCTCCCCCCTCCGAGCCCTGCAATGCCCTACCACTGCTAGTCTGCCGGAACGAATTGGACCTGCGAGCAAGAGAGAGTCAAGTTCAGCATCAGACTTAGGCTATCAAATGCCAAGCCTGTGTGTTTGGAATCAAATTATCTCTTCTTTTTTTTTTTTCTTTAACGATCGACAACGAGAACACAAACCAAAAGACTTCTCTAACGATACGAGGATTTGTGTGTGTGCGAAAGAATATCTATCTTTCTCCTAACTCACGTATATAAAACATGATGCAATAAATAAAGACAGATCACACTTCTGATACGATACACGGTCAACACTGCCGTTCAAAATTTTTACTATAATATATATACACATATCTATGTATATATGTACGTATTTTGTTAGTAATACAACATATAAGTTATTATGGTATCATATTATTATGTTCTAATGTGTATGTCTTGATCTGTAAAAATATAAAAATATAATAATGAGAATATCACTCCTTTATAAAAATAATATACATATATCAATATATAATTTATATATATATATATATATATATATATATATATATATATATATATATATATATATATATATATATGTGTGTGTGTGTGTGTGTGTTTGTGTGTACACATAACTTATATGTACTCTGTGTTTAGTGCATATATATAACCAACTTTATATTATTGATCAATCAATTATGGAATGTGTCAGACACTGAAAGTGCAAGGGAAGACTGTGTATTGCTATCAAATTAAATTCCGAAACAGTGTCATAACTGTGTGTGTGAGTATTTTTGATCAAATACAAAAAAGAAGAAAAAAACACGTAGATAAGGTCGTTTTATTTTTACGGAGAGACGTTGTACGTTTTAAGAACATGCAATTAAGAGAGTGCACTTTCAAAGTTGAAACATACTTAATGTCATTGTTAAATTTTAATGCATCAAGTTTGTATCACAGTCGTAATATATTATAGTGTGTTCCTAAATCCGATCAAAGAGATTCGTGTAGAAATCGATATATTCTTACATTCTCTTTCTCTCTCTATTTCGACTTGTAATCAGATTTTAAAAATCACACGCGTTATTATATATCATTATTTTCGTCAGAAAATGTTTCAGCTTAAGATTTCGATTATGTAGGCGTTTTTCAACCGTGCATCGATATCGCACAGCGAATAAAAATCTGCCAACAATATAAGAGTAACGAAAATAAACTTCCCTCTTTCTCTTTGAGTGTATTAACAATAGGCTATTTTCTATTTTAGAACAGTCTACCGCTATGTGAACAAATATCTTGTTGGATAGAACTGTTATATAGGGCAGTAAACTATAGTATATACTTTGCTGTGTGTTTTATATATATATGTATATATATATATATATATTAGATATACAACAATAAATAAATAGTGTGAATATCACGCTATTGAGAAAGGGTACACTCATCATTCGGGTTTATCGTGCCTGATGGTGAGCCTGACTCCCCGCACACCCCTGTCCGAGCAGGCAACACTGACAAACGGAAATATAAAAGTGGACATAATTCAAAAACAGTTTCCGCTATTGGAAATTGAACGTTTTTGGATCATACATACAAAATACCGACTTGTATTCCGGCAAAAGCAAAGACCGTGCCACCTCCGATCTCACCCACAAGATTGGTGCGTTCATTAATTAAAAAACCTCTATATGTTACAAAAACCACAACATTACGGGGAAACAGTACGCAATAGACTGCATGCATTTCTACCTACTTATTACATGAATATCCAAGAACTCGGTCAATTGTACAACAGCTTATCAATCTCCCCCGAGATCGGTCTTACCTTTGAAACGTCTGCCTCTTCACGTAATTGTCCCGCACAAATTCCACTATTTGCTTCTGCGTTTTTCCGCTGTACCTAATAACATGCAAATTTACAACGATATTTCTTCTGCTATGTATATATCGTACATTTCGCAACGTGACACAAGTGAAATACAAAGGTAATCTTTATAGAGATAAATTTTATTAAAAAAAACTTTCACGTATAGATTAAAAAAAAAAAAGAGTTTCAAGGTCATTAATGTTTCAAACTGTATTTTTTTGGTTTATCTTCAAGTTTCACAATAAATCAATCTTGATAAAAAAAAAAAAACAAGTTTCATGTCAAGATATGTGGTCGCGTGCACGTGTGTTACATACATACCTGAATGACGATCCACGACTAAGCACTCTGGTTTTTTGCCTTACAACTCTCTTGACTACCGAGCAGCGGAAAAAACCGTGATTTTCTACACATTTTTTCCAAAAGTTTTTACACTCATTACGCCCTTCGAAGAAAAATTCGACTGTATCTTTGTAATAACCCTATATAAAACAAAATAAAACGTGTAAAATTTTTATTGCAAATAGAGAAAAACAAACTTTAGAACGTCATCGCACATTAAATACTCACGTAACCTTCCGGATGCAATTTGATTAGAAAACGTTTTCGTTTAAAACTGATTTTTCTGATTTTGGCCCAACTAAATGTATTTATCTTAGTAAAATTTTGAAAAACTACAATGCCCATGTGTGCCACCGCGAGATTTAATGGAACATTTTCATGATCCTGGTGCAGAAATAACCATATTGTACATGTTGCAATATATAAATACATATTGTATGAGTATGTGTACATATATAAGTACACATGATTATATAACACTCACCTTTGCCGGATGCATTTTCATTCCGTAAAGTTCGCAACGTCGAGCAGTTTCTAAAAGATTGAGATCCGCTTCCGCAGGAGATTGACCTCTGTGTAAAACATTAATTAAAAACCCGTATATATAAGACAACATACCCTCTCTAAATGCTAATAAACTATTGAAAAAAAGCGCTGTAACGTTTCTTACGCGTGTTTTTTGTGATTTTCCATAATACGTCGTTCCAGTTCTTGATCCTGGTGAGGCACAAATTTATATGTTGATAAATATGTATGATCCGGATAGTCTTCTATCACATAATCCCCGCATTCAGCTGTAAAAAAATCCATTGCTAAGATAATTAACAATATTGAAACATATATGTATATACATCGTATAACTTGTAATTTTATATAAATCTCAATATAAATTTGAAGATGCAAAAAGAAAATTATATATTACCCTGAACAATATAACTAGCCATTAATGCTGCTGTGTTATCGTTACATTGCAATAAACCTTGAGCTAAATCTCGTTTAATTTGTAGGCAGAATAAATATCTCGTAAATTCCTCCTCAAGTTGCGCAGGATCTGGCGTATAAAACTTAACACAGAATCTCAATAAAGGATCAATTAGAGATAAACCGACTTGTCTACAGACGGGTTTCTCCAGATCCAACCAATACTGCAAAAAGTCAACAATTTCGTAATCGTTATCCTCACTGAGAAATATACATATATTTGCATACATATACATATATAAAAGATAACAACTGTATCTCACTTTTGTTAAGTTTGGCTCTTGATATTCAAGACCGAAATAATCCGCTTCTAGAAGATGCAATTGCTTACAAACTTGATCGAACAACACTCTACCTAACGCTTTAGCCTAGAACAATTAAACAATAGGAGGATTTGTATTAAGTTATTAATCGTCGTATATATGCACAATTATTAAATGCACAGAACTATCAATAGAAAATGCACGGAATAATTTTATTTTTGTTCTCCTTTGTTATAAAAGACTAAGATGACGGAGCAAAAGTAAAGTCTCTAAAGAAGTAAGAAACACGTTGCAAGCATTGTAAATAAATAATCAATAAACGATTGTACATATTTTATACACAAGGATCCCCTATTTGATACGTTATATGCTCCAATAGCTCATTCTTCTGGAAGAAGAATATATACACACACTACGTAGCGTATATAGGATAAGTATCTTGTTAATATAAAAAAAAAAATATATATATATATATACACACAACATTACAAATCAATAAATTTAAATAAAACAAAATATCTCAAATTCACCAAGGTAATGGAAAAGTTCTCCGTACAAAGCTACTAAATCCAATGTACGCTGACACATTTAAGACACAAATAATATATAAAAAAATATTCTTGATATAAATAAAAAATAATCAAATGTTAGAAACATCTCGAGATAACTTAACGTATATAAAATGTGAAAATCTCCCGCACACACACACACACACACACACACTAAAATTCCGAGTTAAATGGCTTCACCGAGAAGATTCTGAGATTTTGCAATCAATGACTCTTGACCCGGTTACTTGAAGAAGCAACGATTTAAATATGCTTAAACAGCATGTAATACAAGGAACCTGATACGCTTGTGAACTTCCAACATTACGTCCAGATAAAAAAAAAAAAAAAAAAGTGGAAATAAAATGTGCAACGAAAAATTTAAAATGTGCACAGCAAACAATTTTCTCCTCCCCGAGTTCTTATCGTCGCATGCGACGGAGAGACGTACGTGCGGCGAGAACAAACAAATATAAAAATGTGGGGGAATAAAAAACTTTTTTTTATTTACCTGGACTTGAAACATCGTAATAGAGTCGTCTAACATCTGCACACGAACAGCCAGCATTTTTCCGGCTTTTCGCGGTGTGGTGGGAGGTGTTCTACTACCTCCGTCCACACCAGCCGGTGTGGAGTGACTGTGGGGCATCTTCGAACCAGATCCCTTCATGCCGAAACCGTCTGTATCATTCATCTTGGGTCATTTATTCTGTTACGAGACGATTATTAATGCGTGCTTTCTCAACGAGTTCAATCAATAAATCTGTATTATGTCATCATCTGCAACGAAAAAAATCGCAGCGTAGAGATCATGTTTACTTGTCATGCAATAACAAAGCTAAATAATGAGATAGATAGTCGAGATAGTCAAAGTCGAGAAAATCGGTGTCAAAGAAGAGAAAATTTGTATTTTCTCTTATACATATATATATGATTATGTAAATATATTTGACTTTTTTAAAACTGAAGAAATCTGTAGAAATTTTTTATACAGGACGATGATGTGTGTTTACATACCGCGCGCGCGGATGGACACGATTGTAAATCACGCGAGATATCCCGTCGCTTCCGCGTGCTGCTGCGCGGCGACCGCTCGTTCCGGCTCGTCGAGCCGTTGTCGTCGCATTTTCGCGCCTGTCACGAAAAGATTGTCACACACAGGAGACGCTTACCTAACGCGCCGAATGCTCGTGTTCTTGCGCGTGATTAATCCGATTATTATACGACCAAGAGAATGCGAACCGGAAAGAAATAGGGTCCCCGGAGAGACCGTTAAACGAAGCGAACTAGCTGATTGGTCCCTGAATAAAAGGGTTGAAGAAGGCGAAGCGACACGACTGACGTAAGATCGAGGAAGAGAGGTAGGGAGGATGCGTTGTAATGCATTTAATGCGTGTACCCGCGCGCGCGAGTGTCTTCCTCTCGCTTCCCCGCGCGCTCGTTTGCCGCCAGTACGTTTGTATTGTGCGTGCGTGGTCGTAATTGCTTCCTCGGCGCGACACTACCGAAAATGGAAGCCGATAGGTTCTTATCCTCGTCGTCGTCGTCGTCGTCGTCGTCATTTATCCGCAAGAAAGAGAAGACACGAACATCCTTGCGCGCGATGTGAAAATTCCGCGAGAGAGAACTCGCGCTACGACGAGAGTATACGTACTCCGGAGTTTTTTTGTTTTTTTTTTTTCTAAATCAACCGGAAAAAGAGAGAGAGACGGTGAAAGAACGGCTTGCGGAGAGAGCGAGACGTGAGAGAATCTATTAGTATATACGTACGGGATCTGTGCCAGGTCGTCGCTGGTGTGCCTCTTTTGCCAGCACACGCCTCGACACGCGTCAAGCAAAGTTCATTGATCACACTCGGAACACCAAAACCGCTTGTCTGTCGGCTCTTCCGCCGACCAAGGTATACGTGTGTATAACAAAGTTTTCTCCTTCGCGAAACGACGAGCGTCGTCGTCGTCGTCGTCGTCGTCGGTTAACGGGTGGTCGCCGATCTCGCGGCGCCGCCCGACGTAGGTGCGGCAACGTGTGCGCGACGATGCTCGACCATCGAGCGCGAACGACAGTCCCGAATCGGAGTCATCACACACACACGTTTACGAGACGCGGCACACCTACATGTATACACACGTCATGTAACACAACTTACACACGCGCGCGGACGCGCGCTCGCGCAAGAGCGATTCACATTCACTATTACACAGGCGCACCGGTTTTCTCTTCCGTATTTGAAAAAATAAAAAAAAAAACGGCTAATCACGGCGTCGCGATGTGATCGGTCAGATCGACGGCTTCGTCGTTGCGTTGTGTCACGTTGCGTTTATTGTATCACATTTCATTGCTTTTGGATTATGTACGCGCGATCTCGCGATATCGTGCCGCGGAGAGACGCAGGGCTGGTCCATCGAGGGCGCGACGTACGAAGGGCGGTGGCACCGATCGCGCCGATGCGACCGAGTCGACATCTAACGGTCGGTCCGATAACTTATTAGTCGCGCGACGGATCGAATCTTTGACGAACGGTTCGAATCCTCGCTGAGGTCCGGTTTCGATCTTCGCCGAACGCGGTTCGAACAATTTTGCATCGAAGCGCGCGCGCGCGCGCGCGCGTGATTGAACGAGAATTTCGGGAGTCGGACTTTTGTAATAAATATATGTATGTATATATTGCGCAAAACTTGAGAACTACATAACGTGCGATAATTAATGATTATTGTAGCATCACGCGAACGTTATATATTGTTGTTGTGTATTTTTTTAATCTTTTGGTCAAATTTTATTTTGTTATCTGTTTGACGGTTCGTGGAACCGATGCAAAATATCGAGAGGAAAAGGGGAAACTACAGATTGCGATTTCGAGAAACAAAACATGATAAAACACACAAAAATTGTCGTTAAATTTCAGAAACACAAAATCGTGAAAAATGTCTCGCTATAGGTAATAAACTAATATAATAAAATAATACGTGTCAACATATCTTTCGTTTCTTGATAAAACTGCGAGAAAATTGTCGATAGAGCAGAAAAATCAATAACTTCCAACGTTGCCACATCGAACGGGTCAAGGGGATTGAATGCAGAGATGCCAGTTCGTGGACTTAGTAAGCATTCAGCATCAAGTGGAGGGGATACGCACACAGGCGACAACCGTGTCCGTGTGCGCTCGGCGCTTCGGCCAATGGTTGGCCAACCACACGGACACGGCTGTCGCCTGTGTGCGTATCCCCTCCACTTGATGCTGAATGCTTACTAAGTCCACGAACTGGCATCTCTGATTGAATGTGGAAACCCCTCGCGAGAAAGTGGTTGTTTCCGTCGCGGGGAGTAAGAAAAAAAAAAAAATAATAAAGATTCTCTCTTCCGCGAAGTGTCTCCTTTGATCACACGTGGGTCATGACTACGTCGCACATTGCGAGTACGTATAACAGTGTTCTCTGTGTCCTCGCGGTTTTGTATACGCGTTTCGATGATACGATGAGAGACAAGTAAATGATGTGTCTATTGTGGGTCATGTATGCAAGAGAAATACGTGTTCTCTCTCCCGAATAGATTTGTAGCCAATAATATCGCAAATCTGAAGCAAACTAATTACATATTTTTGATATTTTGAGCTTTATTATTGAAAAGAAAAAAACCGTATGATTTTTAATAATCTAAAAAAATATTCTCCGATCTCCAGGACATCAGGATGAGTCTCTGCCCACGGAGACGACTTCGCATCACTCCTATGCGAATCCTGGCGGCGTTCTGCGTGATGGTCGTGCTCTTCTGGTATAGCCTCAGTCGACAGGAGATACCGTTACAACCGTGCAGCGTGCCCGAAGAATTTACGGAGAAATTGCACGACCTCGCTTACAGGTTCCGGTTGTTTATTTTCATTCGCGCGCGAGATCCGAGAACATTAAATTTTAGAAAACACATTAAAAACAGTCGTATATCAAACTGATTCTGCATTCCTTGTATGTAAACGCGTATGTTGTTTTTGTTATTTGACCAGAGCCCATTTGGTTCTCACTAAGCTGGGCATCGTTCACTTTCTATGCCTGGGCGGTCTCTGGGGTCAGGTTCGTATTGGCCGTGCGCTCCCGTGGGCTCGTAAAGTGGAACTATGTTTGGTGGACACGCTGCGCGACGACGTTCTGATCACGAAGGCTTTCCGGGAGGACGGTCTGAGTGCCACTTATCTGCACGCGGCGGGAATTTACAGGATACAGGAGCACGAGGTCGGTGAAGATGCGCCAAAGGTCGAGGTGATCGTTTTCGAGGAAGATGCGGTGGTACGAAATATCTCAGATTCTTTGTGCTAATGCTTAGAAAAACGCTATTGATTATAATATCTAGAAGAAGACGCGATTAAATCTGATTAAAACGTTTGAACGCAGACTCAGATGGTGAGGAGAGTCGGATGGACCAGGAGAGTTCTGCCTCCGGATTGCGAGTTCTCGCCGAGTTTGCAGTGCTTCCCGCCGCAGCTGGTGATACCTCCCCTGCCGACGAAACAATTCGGCGGCCGACTGATGCCCGTTCCTCGCGAGGGTATAGAATTACAGAAGTACCACTATCCCAACGACTGGTGGCTGGAAGTCAAGCCCACCGACTGTATCGAGCCCCAAGAGACGAATGCGTAGTGCGCGGTTTCGGTGCGGCAAGGAACACTGGTTAATTCCGGTTAGAAATCGAATATCTAGCTCGTTACGAAAATGTCTGAATTAACCCGGATAGAATTTGTTCACATGGTCTTGGTTTTTACAATGTCCGATGAATCCAGTAGTCTTGACACATCTGAAGAAAACGAGTTGGCGAGTTGTGTTATAGATGCTTTAGATACTTTTGAGAAAAGTAGGGCGATAAATAGTCAAGATGCATGTGATAACATATATAGTATAATATATAGACTGAAGTACTTTCTAATTATTTTAAACGTTTACTTTAGTCGAATTTGTTTATACATACATTTAAGTTGCGATTTCAATGAGCGGACATAGTGACGCAATTGCTGCTTTTATATTAGTATTCAAGTGGCTATCGTTTATAAACAAAAGTAGTGGTTCTAGGTCGCGATAGTCGCGACCGCTGATCATCTTAATTGAAAAAAAAAAAAAAAAACGTAAGTGCGTAAAACATAAGTGCGATGTCGAGTAGAATTAAGCTACCTTTTACATACCGTTTTTGTTAGAGAGTTTTAAATGTTGTTGTACAATGCGGTACACAATTGCTACTTTTCCAAGTATTTTGAAATACTTAGTTTCCCGGTCCCTTTTCATAAGTTTCTTATTTCTTATTGAATAAGAAGTTTTATATAAACGATTTATATACATATATATATATATATACATATATATATTTATTACGGATTATAAATAAAATAATATATAAAAACGTACTTAACACATTTATATACGAGATGCTTTTCATACGTGAATTAATTACACGACGTACTACACGCGCACACGTTTTGTTTGAACGATTATTATCATTATAAATAATAATCACGCGATATATATGGAGAATATTATGCATAGTAATCATTACTTGTGAATATTCAGTCTTGTCATTTGTGTGTGTGCAGCGCAATAAAAAGTCATCCTAGAGATTGAATAAAACTCTGTAAAAGACGCCAATGTCTGGTCTTGATTCAGAGCTGATAATACGAATGAAACGTTTTTTTCTGACGATTAAGAGGAGAAAGTTCTCGCAATTGTCCGACTTGACAAAATGGACAAAGCGCTATTATTCGGAATAATAACGCTTCCACGTATGAATGGTCGAAAAAAATATTCACTCTCTCTGTCGAAAGTATCTTGAAAGTACTATCTTTACAGATGTCCTCGTTCGCTTTCCTATCGTTTAGAAGTTTTACGACTCAACGCGGTAACTCTTGACGTCAACAACATCGCACCCACATCTATCATCTTGTCAATTTTTCACACCTACTTCGTTTATTTAAGCGACATTTCAAATATATCAGGGAAATAAAGTATTTTATAACACACGTGAATTAATGTGTGCGTGTGTGTGTGTATGTGTGTTTTCTGTCATGCACGAAACAGAGAAGATATCAAATTTCGAAAATTCACTTCGCTGTGAAAATAGAGACATCGAATTCGAAGCAGCTGTAAAAAATTAAAACTTTTCGAAGAACTTTATAATTTTACAGGCAGAGTAACTTTGTGAAATACGCGTTGACTTTTTTGTTTTAATTCCCGCGCGATTTGATGGTCGCGGAATATCACTTCGCTATCTTTATTTTAGTTTTACTTTGTCTTGAATTTTCGAAGTGTCGCGCACGTGCACAGACGCGAGTTATATCGAGTTTTCTGTATCAAACGTCTTCTCGTATCAAAACGCCATTTTTCGTTCTCGTATCTCGAGAATAACTTTTTCCATTTTGTCCCAACTTGTTGCCCGCTCGCATTATCAGGTAAACAACTTGCGAAGTGTGCTTACTTTCATTAGAAACTTCGCTTTACTGAAAAATAAACTTCAATCAATCTTATCGCAGTTTATTGTTACGACGACATTTACACGCGATCTGTTATGCGTCCGTGTGTGCGTTTCTCTCTAGACATGTTCGAAGGGAAGGAAGGATATAAAAGAAAGTCTTTCTCGCGAGGAAGAAACTTTCAAGATCGCGATCTCGTCAACGTTCAATCGAATTTCGGCCGACCACGTGGACGTTGCTTCTCTATCTGTTGAGACTTCATCCCGCGAGGATTAGCTTGTGTTCCACATTCGTTCCGAATCGAACGAAAGTGAGATCGCGAGTGATATATTGTGAGACGTATTCGCGCGAAAACGTATAAACGTACATCTAGCGATTTTACATGCGGGTTTTTTGATTTACAATTTCGTTGAGCAACAAAAAGCGAGAAGGTCGTTAGAAAGTTTGACAAATTTAATTAAGGCGAGTTGAACGAGTGTTGAAGAGCACGTCCACGTTAATCAAGAGACTTTGCCGAGAGAAAAAGTATGCAGGTGAGTTAATTAAATCGTCAAACAAAGAGGATCAAGTGTCTGTCTCGATCTCTTGTGAATATCTTTAACTAGATCGTATGTGACACATTATTATTGATCTTCAGATATCTATGGGTATTGTGCTTTTCGGCTTGCTGCTAGAGTTGGTGAAGTTTGGTGAAACCTACAAAATGTTCAAGCCGTTCAAGCCGTACAAACATTATTATTCCCAACCGTGGCGTCCGCCGCGATGGCACTCGTTTCCAAAACCGCTGAAACCCTATCGTCCCAAAGGAAGACCGCAAAAATATTATTTCTACGAACCGGAATATCACAGGTAAAATAATCGCGTAATTTCTGATCTCGGCTGAGATTTAAATAAATCGTTTATTATTATAAGATTAACATCCAATATTTTTTACTCGTTCTTTTGTAATTTTTAAATTTTATTGCGTTTTAAACAAACTAGTTTCTAATTTGTTTTCAGTTACAAAATTAGCATAAAAAATATTAGCATAAAAATGTTCATTTACGTGTTAATTATCGCGTTTTATTTTATTTGAACTTAATTGCAATTAATAATTTTATACAGATACGCACCGTCGTACGAAGACACAGTGGACTCGCACGACACCGGAAAACCGTACGTTATAATCATACAACTGTCACAAAAAAAAGAGAACACGCATCGTTCGTATAAGCGTCATCATATCACGGATGATCCGCTGAACGATTACATTGATAACGACGATGACGAGGTGAAAGTTTACCAGCTCGATAACAAAGCAGTACAGATCAAAGTTAACGACCGATTGTCAGTACTTACATCGTGACATCTGCGGTTGTAAAAAAAAAAAAAAATCTGATTTTCTTTTATTTGATCGGTAAGAGAACAACATAGTTGCATTTGAAACTTGATATTTGTGTCTTCTCTTTACATTGTTATTTATTTGAATAATGCTGATGTTTCGTTAAAATTTTTGTTCTTCAATAATTTTCTTTAAAAATATTGAAATTTTATCGATGTAACGGGGAAAATCAGAAAATAGAATACGAATTTGAATAAAATACGGTTTTTTTTCCGTACGCTTATAATCATTAAACCCGCGTTTCTCAATGTAGTTTTTATTTCTAACATAATAGTCAACGAACATATTTTTGTAATTGTAAATAATAATAACATACAATGTCGTCGTGATGATGATGTGTCGCTGCTGCAGTCTATTCTCGGGCGAGTCGCTTTTTGCTTTTTTGTTTTTTTGTTCTTCTAACGTCGACAATTAAAATTCGCTCGAATCAAATCCCGTTGCTTTAAGCTCGTGCCTACGTCGGAAATTCTCAGAAGCGAGTCTCGAACATTCGGAATAAATTTTGTTAAAAAACAGTTCGACAAACCTACTCTCTGACGTATGTACAAAGTTGTAACACATTACAAACATTCACAGAAAGTTACATTCAACCGATTTATCGATATTTACGTATTTTTTTTTGTTCTTTTTTTTTTGTAATTTTGACAAATTTATCGACATTCACATAATCGTTTTGAAATTTTGACGATTTTTTTACTGACATTTATATATACACAAAAGTTGTTACATATTACAAACATTCACAGAATGTGTGTATGTGTGTCAATCGTTACAAATATAACTATATATTTCGATAATATATTTTATATTGCTTTTTATATATCCAGTTTTATATGTATAGTCAGTTACAAAAGCAATTATGCAATATAATATACATAATAATGAAATATTGCAGCAGTCTCGCGTCTGATTGAATAAAAGTAACTCCTATTTGAACAACGACAATCCTTTTTCCGACGTTTCCTTTTGTTTTTTTTGTTTTTTTTCGTTTTAGAATTTTATACACTTCTCTTTGTCGTTAACATTACAATACTCTTACATTTAACATTTACATTTTACACTCGCTTCTCTACACACACAGCCGTTTGTATGAACTCCCTTCACATGTTTTTCTCTTGTTTTTTTTTTTTTTTGTTTTTGTTGTTAATTGTTGTGCGTCTTTGTTGATCTTCTATGAGCCTCGCTCTCACACGCGGCGATTATATAAACATAGAAACATACAAACACACATGATTTTTTTTTGTCTACATATCTATTACGCACGACGCATATTTTTTTCTTCTGTTTAATTTGCATGAATAATTAAACTTTGCTTTTTATAATTTGTGTGTCTCGCGATCAACTACTTTTTCGAAGCACTTTATTGCAAGTTTTTTTTTTTTTTTTTTAAACGAAGCACTTATATTGTTTTTACACCTGGATTATTCGGCTCGTCTTTCATTTCTTTTACTTTCCTATTTTTCTTCTGTTTATTCGTTTAACGCGTTTTACATTTGATTAAGAGAGTGCAAATACAATTTTTTTTTTTTTTCGCTTGCCGGCATCAGGTAGAAACTGCTACATATGTTTTTTTCTCGACGTATCACATTTATCGTGAATGCGCATTTTATGCACTAAAATTTATGCAACGATCCCTGCTCACATTTGCGTTCACACATCCTCCGCTGATAAAAACGGCAATAAAATTATTATTTTCAAGTCGAAAGTAGGCGGTAACACCTACCGCGATGAAATACCGTGACATTTTTTAATTCAACGATACACGTGATCAACTTTTTTTTTCAATAAAAAAAATAAAAGATTTGTTTTGCGACATTATCGTCGATCGAAAGAACACGAAGATGGAAATGGAATTTTTAATCTCAGGAATACAGAGAGAGAGAGAGAGAGAGAGAGAGAAAGAATTATCAAACGTCAACAGAGGATCGTGGCTCACGCAAGCGTGATATGCGTGTGTGATTACTGCGGTAGCTAATTACGCATGTGTCTCTCCTATTATGTGTATATCAGCGTTTTCTCTGAAAAAGAAGACTTAACAATTATATCCGTTGTAATCACAGTCGATGTAAAGGTGTACACAGAGGCGATGCTCATCAATATAATATACCTATATATATATTTATATATATGTATATAATATATATTTAGTCTTTCGTTTATATATACGATTTCTCCCGTACCGTTTATTATTCCACTTGTCACATTAACTCACGTTATTACACGATTCCTCTTGAGGATCCAGTTCTTCTTTCGGTCCACGTCGGAAACTCCATCGCGCGGTCGAAGGACATCCGGTTATTCTTTCACGGCCGCCACCGCGATTTTTCGATTTTTCACGTACGCGTACGTGTGTGTATGTGTGTGTATGTATGTGTGTGTGTGTGTGTGTGTAAAGCGTGGCACTTGCAGGATATGAAATCTCGATCGCACCCGTCAAAACTACACCCAACAACTTCGTTTTCTCCCTCACGTACACGGTACCAAAAGAAATCCTCGTGTGGCACTGAAGCAGTCGCCGTCTCCGCTCTCGCGTCGGAAAAAGTAGGCCATTCGTTGATATCGTCGACCGGAAGTTCAAAGAGTGAGTTTTGCGGCGTGCCTCAGGATGTTGACGAGACCATGACGGGGCTAGGCGAAGCGCTGCGGCGACAGTGAGAGCAGAGGCACACTGGCAGGCCCTTCCCCGTCGAGCGAGCGTCATACCGGCGTCTCGAATGTCACCTGTAACACTCATACGTGTCGAACGTGCTACAATCGATCTTGAAACAATCGAAAGTGATGGCTGATCAGTTTTTTTTTTTTTTACAATTTAATAAAAGAATAATAAATAATAAAATTCATTAAAAGAAGATGAACAAGAGAGGAAAAAAGACGGCCGTCGACAAATTGCGTTGACAAATTAAAAATTTATCATGTGTTCATCACCAATATAAATTCTGTAATTCAATTAGAACACACATTTGATGCGCGGGCATTCTGTGTGTAAAGTATTGCGAGAAAAATATCAGATCTTGGCCAGAACTCAAATCTGAAAACCTCTGCATGTCGGACAGAGTGCATTATCATTTGGCCACCGAAGCCACGTGGTGATACCTGCCGCAATTCTTCAATATATACATATACGCGATCGTTTCCTAAATTGAAAGAAACCAACGATCGATTCGTAGAATTTAATATCTTTCCGTAACAGGAAAAACATTACAGAAGCTTTCAAATGCAGAGCAATTTGATTACGCAAAAAATGCACACGATAGTGCAATTTTCATTTATTTGAAACAACGGAAGATTTACGTGTCATTAATTTTATTTCGGTTCTAAAATTGTGACGGTAACGCTTTAAATAATAAATTAAATCAAATTGTCGCTCCTATTTCTGAATCGGACAAGCTCTTCAGGAAGCGCAAATGCGGTGGAGATTCAACTCATGGCTAAACATATCGGGGAAGATATAATTATACAGGGGCAGCATTGGAAATTGCAATTATGCCCTCCCTCTCTCCCTCCCTAATACATTTAAACGTGTTGGATAATTCTAGAACTCGTGGCGCGAAGGAGCTAAGCTACAAATATCTCTCTATTGATATATATCTACATAGGTATAGCTACGTTGGCGTACGAAGTGTATGGGTACACGCGGACGATTATCAGGACAACCTCAACTTTGTAATAGAACAATATATATATATATAGTTAAATTGTTTGGAGAGGAAGCGTTAACGATGGCGACGAGAGGATGCACTCTCCCTCAAGTATTCGACGTGACGTTATTATTGCTTCATGAGATTCAAATCTATATATATATATAAAACGTGTAAAATATAAATATATCTATAAATATATATGTGCGCGTAGTAGTTGTAAGTTAGTTATAAAATTTTTTTATTTGGACGTAAGAAACATTGATAACAAACTCTGAGGGGAACCCAATCAATTTTCTATACATGTGTGCGCGTACTTTAATGTACGTATGCGAAGCGTATAGAATCAATTATATTATCATATTAATTTAACTATGTACAATTAAAATTGATTAAACATTTAACGCGATATAAAGAAACACAAAGGACAGAAGAAAGAGAGGCGTCATTAATTAAATTTCCATAATAAAAAAGGACAAGTTGGTGAAAAAGAAAAAGACTATACGTCACTATATGTGTGCGCTGTCGTAATTTGCTTTTAAAATTCGCGTGTCTTGCTTTTATGCGATCTAAAAATAGCCGATCGCACTTTTCACGCCACAGGGTGGCACTCGAGCTCTCTCTCTCTCCTCTCTCTCCTCTCTCTCTTTTTCTGTCGTATCTTCGTAACGAAGTCACCGTAATGAGGTCAATAAAACGAGTGAAATCTACCCACCTCTCTAGTTCCTTTTTTCGATCGCTTCCTCTCGAGCTTCGGTGTGAGAGGTAGCAGGGTGTAATCGCCGCCGGCGTCCCCGCTTCGCTGCCGTGTCGCGGGTGCTCGCGGCGGCGGCGAGAACTGGACACCCTGCGGCAGTAACGAGTAGCCGAGATTTTGGCTCTGGATAAACGGCGAGGTCGGCGGGAAGTGATTTGCCACCACCGGTGCCCAATACTGATGCGAATATCGGGACGGGGAGTTTTCTGGGAACAAAGAAATCGCGACCGCGTTCTTTGTTATCCTGGTTACGACATTTAAAGGTCGTCTAACGTCTACTGACTTTGCTACATTTTGCTCGAATGACCGGTTACGTAAATCAAATTACCGAGGGGGTCTCGGCCAAAGGCAATATGCCAGACCACATAGAGCGAGCGTGAAATGTTACGAAAAAAAAAAAAAAAAAACACATACTTGGAGTCTTTGTGACGTAAAAGATCACAATTCAACGTTTCTATAGCACGAAGCAATATAAGCTCAAAGATCAAGCACTCGATATGAAAATGTCGCCCGATATTACGAGAAAATAGAAGATCGTTGATATACTCACTGTCATTACGCTGTTGGTTGTACTGTTTCTGCACCTTCCAGTTCGTCGATCGAATCCTTCCGGCGGTTTCGGTGTTAACGGCGTCGACGCTGAGACTCCTCGAGACCCCCCTGTAAGGTATCGACGGTGCGTTCTCACTGGTGGTCGCGACACCAGCGAGCTGCTCGTTAAGGGCGTACAACTTGGACGTAATGTCCTTACCGATGAGGGTGTGAAGAACGACCTTGAGCAGCGGCCTATGCCGGAGCACCCTGAGTAACTTCATTCTCGTCCAACAGATATACGTGCTGGGCTCCTCGGCTCGTATCGTCACCTGGAAGACGTCGGCGTCGCTTTCGTGCATGGCTTCCCATTCGGGCGAGTCGACGAATTGGTAAGCTCTGATATAATGCAAGTGGGTCCCGTCGCAAGTTACATTCAGTCTGCAAAGAAAGGCTCAATAATCTAAGCTGCACGCAAACAGCGCGATTTCTGATATAACATTTGATAAGACGAACAAAAATTGAATCGAAAGATTTTCTTGTTCCCGATAAAGATTTAATCAGCGTCTAACAAAAGGACTGAAAGAAACGTATGTAATGAAGAAACGTTTAATGCAGAGAGACACTTTTCGTTATTAATAACATTTCGCAAAAGCCACAGCGATAAGATTGAAAAAGTATTTCTATATTAAGAAGAGCCAAGCTTTAATTATAGTAGAAATTAATGAAATCTTTTCAGAGAGAAAAAAAAAATCTTTGTTCGCGGGAATAAAGTGACTTGTATAGCGTGTATATATATATATATATATATATATATGTATATATAAAAGAGGACACTCACTTCCCACGCAAAAGAATGGACAGCTTTTTATCCGCCGGCGTGACACCTTCTGTCGCATAGGTCTGATCGGAATCCAACTTGAGTATTCTCGCCTCCTTTGCCAGCTCCTGGAAGTGCTTCTTGCTAACTTTGTAGGGCTTGAAGAGCTTCAGATAGAGCTCGGCTAGCTCAGGGCTAAGGGCTGGCGGCAGAAATCGACAGGCGAGTATCAACGAGTGAATGCCGTTTAACAGACCGAGGGCCAAGCACCACAACATGGCGTCCAAGGCGCATATGGTGATTCCGGCCCAGAGGGCCGCCAACATGAAACCCGCCGTGAGAAACGTGCGAAGGGCTAAGACGGAAGCTTTGAACCAGCGCGGCACCAAAAACGCAGCCGCGAAAAATAAATTCGCCGCCTAAAAACACACAGTCGTGCAAAATTACAAATTAAGTTATCAGCACTCGCGTGTTTTTCCGAGTCCAGAATTTAGAAAAACAAAACATTCAATAAAATTATTCTCGTCATCAATCAAAATTCACGTAAGAATCCCTCGACTTTGAAGCTTTCAAAAGACGAAATACACAGTTTGTCCGGAAAGTTCCCGGACT